CGAGCTCAGGTTGTGTACCTTCGGATATGTTTTGGTTTCTTGCCGTCAACCCTTTTTGATGATGTATTCTGAGCCCAGATTGTGTACCTTCGAATATGTTTTAGTTTCATTCTATCAATCCTTTGACGATGTATTCTGAGCTCAGGTTGTGTACCTTCGAATATGTTTTGGTTTCTTGTCGTCAACCCTTTTTTGACGATGTATTTCGAGCTCAAGTTGTGTACCTTCGGACATATTTTGGTTTCATTATGTTAATCCTTTGACGATGTATTCCGAGCTCAGGTGATATGTTTTGGTTTCTTGCCGTCAATCCTTTTTAACGATGTATTCTGAGCTCAGGTTGTGTACCTTCGGACATGTTTTGTTGTTCATTCTGTCAATCCTTTGGCGATGTATTCCGAGCTCAGGTTGTGTACCTTTGGATATGTTTGGTTTCTTGTCGTCAACCCTTTTTAGACGATGTATTTCGAGCTTAGGTTGTGTACCTTCGTATATGTTTTATTGTTCTTTCTGTCAATCCTTTGACGATGTCGCCAATTTTTAAGCTTTTCTTTCCCCAGTGGAGACCGTCTTTGCAATTCAACTTTCATTAAGGATCTTTTTCTTCCTAGAATGTCATCCAGTCACACTTGAACTTGATGATCAATCATTCTAGATACCTTTATTGGAGCTCATGTTTTGGTTCTACTTCCAATGAGGTTGCTTTGTCTTTTTTCCTAGAGTGTCAGCGAGTCATTGGTTGAACTTGTTGATCAATTACTCTGGATATTCCCAATGGAGACCATCCCTTGGTTCAACCTCTAGTGTGGATCCCTTCCTTCTGAAGTGCCAACCGGTCACGCTTAGACCTGTTGTTCCATCACTTTAGATATCCCCAATTTGTTTCAGCTTCCCTAATGTTGTTTTCATCCCTAGTGAGTGGTTACTCATTGTGTTGACTTTATCCCTATTTGCTTTCATTTTCGTCTGCATTTTTGTATTTATCATCCCATCATTTTCATCATGCTAGAGTCCATTGCATGTCAGCATTGCATAGTTTTCTTTTGTCCATAGCATGTCATTGCATCTAAGGGAAAATTTTTTGGTTATCTGTATTTAAATACCTTTCACCATTATTTCATGAGGATTTTTATCACTCATGTCATATGGTAAAGATATTTAAATAAGGGCAATTGTCATACCCCAAATTTTACCCTTAGATTCCATCATCATATGCATCACATATCATGCATTTCATCTTGCATAATGCCTAATTTATCAGTTGGAATAAACTTGTTGGATTTACAGCCAAATCGGTCAAATCAAAAGTCAACTATGCATAAAATTAGTGGATGAAAGATTTTAAAATTGAGCTTGCAGACGTCAAAGATATTAATCTATATTCTCCGTAGTTTAACTGGATGTGCTCGTTTGATTTTTTCAACTAATTTTTGGTTGCATTTTGAACAGCTCAAGCCATTTAACCGGGTAAATTTTATTTCAAAATTTGACATAGCCGTATTTTTTCCAATACGTATATTTCGCGCTAATCATTTTGGTGTATTCATTTTATTTTTCTGAGCACTTCGATACCAGTCCAATTACTCTTTTTTTACCAATTTAATTTGTATTTTTAATTAATAATTATTATTTTATTAATCTGGTTTTTTATTTAACTTTTATTTAATAATTTAATTTACTTATCATTTTATTTGATATTTGTTTCTTATTTTATTTTATTTTTTGACAAAACATAATGTCTAAGTTTGATAAAGCTATATTTGTTTTTTATGCATTTTAGTGAAACCTACTCTTTCATGCATGCATCACATTGACACTCTCATGTCACCCTCGCACATAAAGCCACGTCCCTATCTCATCTCCCCTTTGTGATCTACGTTGAACTTTTTCTTTTTAAAAAAAAAACCATTTACACATATTGTACACATATAAATGACACTACATCATATGTTTATAACACAAAGCCACTTCATCACGCTACACCATTTTTTCATCGTCACCTCATTTTTCGTGAGATATCCATCATACCCTTCATACCTTCATGTTTCATAACTCTATCTTGTCACAAATTTTTCATCATCAATACCATCAGCTTAATACCATACTATTGTGCTCTTCTCACATCATTAGCCTAACTCACTGTTAATAAACCATAAACAACACCTCAGGTAACTCCCACATTTCCACTAATTAAACCACCATGTAAAACAAATCAATATAATGATCCCTTCATAACAACTAACATAGGTGCCACCATCCTGCAATGAGCAAACACTTAGCAAAACTTCTCCTTCCCCCACCATATGCCACTTCAACATAACCATACACTCACTTTCTCTAACTACATCCTCCCCAAAAACTTCATTTCCTCCTTCCTCATAAACCTCATCAAAACCCGCACCGCACCGAGTAATAGCTACAAACATTTTGATCTTTGTTTCGGACATAAAGCCTCATATCCAATGACTTCATTATCACCTCCATGAACGTGTTACGACAACTTCAATCGCAACCAGAACGCCGCCACTTTACGCACGTGAGTCATACTCAGATCCACTACATCTCCGTTTTCGGTTTGCAGTGAACATAAATCCTCTTTCAATAGTACTCTACACGATACGCATCAAGCAGCTCGCGACTCAGCTGCAATTTGTAACAACAGCAATATCTCAACAAAGCTCTGGCTCGACATTTTCAACTCAGTAACTCGTCGAATTTCGTTTTGTTAACTTTTTTATTCGGTTTGTGTTTTCAAACTAAGTTTACTTTCATTTTCTACTTTGTATTGTGTCTTGTGGATGTTGCAATCTCCAAAGAAAATTAATTGAATTAGAAGATGAAAATCTATCTAACAGATCATCTTTCCTAAAACCTGTTGAAGGATACTTCCTAATCAGAAGATTTCTTTAACTGGATGAATGGAATGTGACATATATTGTTAGAAGAGTACTTCAGAAGCTTATGAGATATTCGTATTTCAACTAATTTCCCAAATCCAAGAACAAGGGGAAACACTACCAGAACCTAATGTCAGGGGTATTCATTGCATATTCATTTGAAGCTGACATTAGTGCATGATTCAGAAGAAAGAGTAGTATGGTTCTACTGGTCATTACTGCTTTTGAAGAAGCATCTGAATCCTGGAATAAAAACCAAGTATTGAAGAGAACGAGATTATGCCAAATCTATCTTGCTTCAATATTTGATAATAAAGATTCTGTTCTTTAAGGTGATATCTTCAATGACTCCATTGCTCCTTGATTAGGATCATCATGGAATTTGTGTTAAGGGACAATTCTATGAGGAACCTTTAATTCTTCTTCAAGTTCTGTCAGCAATTATATGACAGTACTTTAATTTTTTATGCCAATCTCTGATAGCAAACACTATCTGGTTCTATGCTTTTCAAAGATTTCAAAGTAAAAAGATTTAATCCAAGACAATGAAACCAATGATTCTACTAAGAATAATATCTTGTTCATATCATGACTAACGTACCTCGAAAAATATGATTTTCGCGATACACAAAACAGGGTTGCACGATCACGGATGGACTTAGAAGAGTCACCACCAAAATTTAGGCTATGTTTGGATAATTTAAAATAACGGAGCGGAGCGGAACGGAATGAAATAGGATGGAGTGGAATGGAACGGAATGGAATATAAACCTCATTCCATTGTTTGGATATTTTACAACGGAGTGGAACTAATATCTCATTCCACTGTTTGGAAATTGGACGGAGCAGAAAGCATTATAACTTTTTTATTCCATTTTTACCCTTTGCTACCATATTACATTAAAATAATATATAAGTAATCATAGAAAAATATCAACTTAACACTTGAAAGAAATTAAAACATACAGTAATAAATTAAAATGTTCATAAATGAAACATGATTATTATAACATGAAATTGCAAAGACCAAATGCACAAGTTTTGATCAACACCATACTGGGTATTCATAGTAATTCATAAACAAAATCAAGTTTTGCTAAAATTAAATGATAAATATATGTCTATAGTAGATAATGATATCAAGTCTTGCTAATAAAAAAGACAAATATTAATCCATAATAGATAATGATTCTCTTCTTTAAGCATTCCACAAAACCTGCAAAAATAAAATAAATTAAATTACGCAAATATTTCATTCGTTAAAGATAAAAAAAATACTCAAAAGTGATAAATAAATATGTTACCCTTATCAAAAGGGATAGTCTGGAACAATGAGATGTAAAATTTCCTTCCACTTATCGATTGGAATTCCATTAAAAGCTTTCAATGCATCGACATTCTTAATAAGGTACATGTAGACAAGAGGCAAAGAACTTGGTTCAACCCCAATCTCGACCAATTCGGCCCAAATATCTCCACCATTATCATTTTTACTCTGTTTGACCAGCTCCATGGAATTCATTTCAAACACATCAACCATTTTTTTGAAAGTTTTGGAAATCTCAATCATGCTTGTATCATCTTCAATAACCTTCTTTACTCGCTTCTTAGTCCTAGATGATGATACATCTTGAGAATTGGTAATAGAAGGTCTTGTAGGAAAATTGTTGGAATGATGTTCATCATTATCAAATCCCTCCAAAATAACTTTATTGGTTTCAACTAAGTGGCATATTTCTTCGATGGTTGTGCCATGATTTTTTTCAACATTTGCAACCTTTTTTGCTCTCATTTCAGCAGTTGTACCTTCATGTTCTCCTGTTGCTTGATCTTTTCCAAAAAGTTTGGCCGATTTATCATAAAATAATATTGGTTTGTTTTTCCATTCAGCAGCTTCGGGTTTTGCCTACACCAAAATAAACAAAACAATGCATCACTTAAAAAGTTTTTAATGAGTGAAATCAAATAAATATAATCGGGTAAGTGTATAAAACAATTATAGTAAATATTACCTCAATTAGCTTGTTCCAAATTTTATCTTCGGCAATCCACATATTTGTTGTTGAATCTCATCCAAACCCATTCAAGCCATTCTAGAAAAGGTCATAACAAGAATTGAACTTTGTTTTGATGTGTTTCATGTGATCTTTTATTTTTTTCTTTGGAAATTGGTTTGTCCGGAAAGTGAGTCTTCAATTCTTTAAGAATGCTATCCATAGCGCTTGTTGTCATACTATTACCATTTTTATTTCCCAATGTTTGCTGATGCAAATATGAATCAAGCAAAACTTCATCCATAGCAGTTGTCCAATTGGATGTTTCTAGACTTTTGATTTTCCTCGACCTCTTTAAACTTGCTTTCATGTCTATTATTAAAAAACACAATGAAGAATATAATAACTTATGCACAAATTCAAATGTAAAGGTTCATCATACACTAAAATTCATTCCACAAATTACAAATAAAAAATTCAATCCAAATAAAATTCTTCAAAACATTATTCATAAGAGTAACAAATCATTAAGAATAATTTTAATAATCTAGCCACATAGAACCAGCAACATTATCTCTAATTGGCTCTCCGCCAATCATATCATCATTTTCTTCTCTATGATCTTGATGACCCTCTTGAACATCTCTTTCGTTTGCAAGCTCATCTTGCACCTCATTAATTAGAGTTTGATTGGGGTCTTCACCCATCAAATAGTTGTGTAAAATGCAACAAGCAAGGATGATTTCATTTTGAGTTTTAATACCAAATGTAGGCTCTGTTGCAGTTTGTAAAATTGGAAATCTTTTCTTCAACACTCCAAATGCACATTCAATAGACATTCGTAATGACAAATGTTGATGGTTGAATAACTCATGAGGGTTTCGAGGTGGATTTCTATAGTATTCTTGTAAGTGGTATCGTTCTCTCCTATACGGTGTAATGAGACATGCTTTTAAAGGAAATCTCGCATCACTCAGATAACATTTTCCTATAAAAAATAATGAGTCCATTATTGTAGCTAATTAATTACTCATACAAATATTTTTTATTACTTTTTATTACCTTGTGGAACTTTAAGAGGGTGCCCACGTGTCAACACACTCTTAACTATTCTTGAGTCAGAAGCAGTTCCTTTCCATCCAACTAAGTCATATGTAAATTTCAAGTCAAATGAGCACGCAGCTAACACATTTTGTGTAGGATAATCTTTTCTACCATGATATCTAGGTGCGAGTTCTATTGGAACTTTAACACGCACATGCGTGCAATCAATTGCTCCAATACAGTCCTGACATTAAATTTATATATTAAAAGTGTACAAGAAAACTAATCAATATTTGTATAAGACAAAAAATTTGTTTACCTTAAAATACGGGTAGAATCTATGGATGTTAAGTATCTGCGGAGGCACTTGTGTTCCATCAGGTTGTTTTAAAAATTTTCCCTCCACCACTATCAAAGCATCTAGCACTCTATGAAAATGACGACTAACAGTTTCACTGGAGCGTCTAAAAAAGAAGGACATCACACGGTTTCTAACATTATGTCCTACTATATGAAGAAATTTTGCTACTTGTTCTTTGATAGACACTCTTCGTGTATGTGTAAGTCCACCTTGATCTTGTAATAAGGTGCACAAGTTTAAGAAAGCTTTGGGACCCATACGAATGATATCATAACATCGCTCACTTCCTACAATATGTTTCATCAACTCATTTCTAACTTTCTCTCTTTGCTCTGTGATTCAATAAGGTATTTGGGATCTTCTACACTTGTTTTTTAGCGAACATATTAGAACAATAATGATAGATACTTGAATAATCATCATTTGAACTAATTTCATATACTTGATTCTTATGTCTTCGTTAGTCATCTATAACAAATTAAACAGTAAAATTTACTCTAATTATAAATCCATATACAAATAAATCAAATTATAATATTTATAACAAATAAAATAAATCATATCAAAATCAGAACAAATAGATTAAGAATTTGTAAAACAAATCAAATATATAATTTTAATCCCAAATTAATTAAGAATCTTTATAGTTACTAATAATTATTTTCCTATTATACTACATAATATTATTAGCCAATTTTATGTTACAGTAACTAATTTTAGTTTTTCTCTATACATAATAAGAATACAATCAACACGAATAGTAGTGAAAAGCAACAGGAACAGTAGTTTTGCAACAAATATAATTTCTACTTTTTTTCTTAATAAAAAGTTAATTTAACATACAAAACACTATAAAGCAACATAAATCATAATTTTAGGTTTTATTTTTAGTAACTATACCTAATTTCTGAAAAATAAAAAAGACATGAACATGAAAATAAATCAAGATATTTAATTTAATAGAGAACACATATAAATACAGGTAAAAAAAAAAAAGAAGAAATATGATGTACCTTGTTAGGGTAGAAGAAAGATAGACTCTTTACAAGCAAGAAGAAGGCCTCTGAAGGAGAAAAATTGCAGTGAATGAATAGAAAAATATCACATTGATTGAAATAAGGAATATGAACGATTAATAATAAAAGTGAAAATTTGGAGGATAAAATTGTAATTGTTTTATTAATTGATTCCATTCCATTGGATACACCCCAATTTGGGGGAATGAAAAATGGACCAACATAGTGGTATTGGATGGAATGTGTTCCATTATACTTCATTCCATTCCATTCAATTTTTGTAAATCCAAACAATGAAACATAACTCCACTCCACTCCATTCCATTCCATTCCTTTCCATTAATCCAAACAGACCCTTATTTATTCCGAGGAGGGGAAAGGGAAAATATCGAGAAAACCTACGGGTGAAAGGATAGGGTATGGTCATCGCAGCTATATTGGGTTCGGAAGTCGGTTATGTAAGGGGAAGGTAATAACACCCTCTACATCCTTCGTGCTCGATGGAAACCATCTAAGTTGTCCAGGCACGAAAGGGTATTTGATGTCTCAAAGCTTGCTAAGGGAAAAATGGATGTTTATTTGGGAAATAAAAAAGGTTTTTTATTATTGAGTTTGTTTGAATTTTGCAACCCAATGCCTACATATCCCAGAGGGAATCAGAACTTCGTAGTTCTTGTTGAAAAGGTTTGGTTTGTTGTTAATTTTTTATGGGCGATACTAAATTTGTATTCTAGAAGTTAGATACATTGTCTGTTTGCGGTAGAATGGAAGTAACATGCCCTTTTTGAAAAGGTTTTAAAGAGAAAAGCTCGAAGGTAAAAAGATTTAAATTTTTGAGGTGTTTTATTAATATTTGAAAAGGTTGGAGATACATGTTATACTTAAGTCTATGACAATAGGATCGAGTATGTTGTACAAATGAGTCAGACGTCTCATGCACAACATACCCTAAGAAGAGGTAAGGAAAACTCCAACTCATCTTTTTCCATGTGCTTAATGCTCATGACATATCATAAGTATCGTATTAGTTAAGTTTTTTTTAAATTAAAAAATAATGATTTTTTTTGTTATATGAGAGAAGAGCGACTAAAAGTGAATTTTTGAACTAAGATTATCATGCCAAAATGTTCCTAAGGTAAAGATTGGGGGGCCTGGAAATTGACATGCTTGGATCAAAGCCTAAGATCTAGATTCAATTTATCATAGATAAAATTGAACCAAGAACCTTAAAGGAACATGGAAATCACACAGTCAAGCAATCAATAACATCATGTATCAAGAACAGTCATCAAGCACATATATCTAAATCATGACATAAATCATCAAGATTCTAAAACAAGGATTTAATCTCAAACTTAAACCAAGAATTAATTACAACCATAAAATCAAGATCCAGATTTACATCATACCCATTTTTTTTTATCAAAGATCAAAATTAGTCATAAAAATCTAATATTAAAATTAACCTAAACTAACAAAAACAAAAAAACAAAATATTTAAAAAAGAAAATGTAAGAAAATGGAAAGTGTAAGTGAAAGCCGGCCCATTGTCATTGGCCTAAAGTCATTGTTTTATTTTTAAAGGGGGGGTGCCAACTTGGATTGGGTGTTAGAAAGAAAAAAACCTTGGGATGAGATTTAAGGGAGCCAATCCGAAACAAGTGTGCGGTTTAACATAAATTTTTTGCACAATTAGAAAAGAGAAAAATTCAACATGCTCGCATAGTTTCCTCTCGCTTCGTCTCATACTCTCTCTTTCTCATTACTGCTTTTTCTTTCGCACACTTTTCCTTCTTTCAAATCGCGCCAGCTCTCTCTTCTCTCTCAAGCAACAACCTCAACGAAACTGCGACGGAATCCGCCGCGCCATGGCTTCAAGCCGGCAATCCGTTAACCTTGATTCTATTTCGCAATCCAAATCACAGCGATTCAAACAACGTGAATGTAAGGAGATCGAGACAAATAAATACCTAGAAAATCAAATACCTTGATTTCGCACCTCTTTCGTTCAATTCCGTGCGTGTTGTCACTGTTGTTGATGATTCGTGTTGCATTGCTGCTACTTCAAGTTGTTGATGTTGTTGCTTTTTTTCTCCAAACTGCTATCTGTTGTACGTGTCTTTGCCTTTTTTTCACCGTCCTTGATTCAATTCGTGTCTGACATTATATAGGCTCAAGAGTAATAAATTTCTAATTTTTAATTGAATGTCCAGGATGCTGTTTTGGAAAGAAGAAACATTGCTGTAAGTTTTTGATTTCTCGCTCGGAATACGTGATTAAATGCTTGATGATGATTAAAAAAATTTCCATTTTCAGTCTATCATGTTTGGAACTGTTTTGGAAACGTTATATTGCTTTCCATTTTCAAATTATTATGCTTCATTGCTTGTCATGAACGAGATTGCGTTTCAATTGGAAGTTAATGATTGTTGTTAATGCCTTTTGGATATGTGTATCGATTTACCGACTGTGGTATCGTTGACTAGCACTGTTATCCAACCATCATGGAGACACTTTGCTTCATTTGGCGGTGGCTGGTTTTAAAAGTCCCGGTTCCTGTAGACGGGACAAGCATGTCGAACTCTTGAAGAAATTGGTGACTGAGAAGAATGTGAAGACACGAGATATCGTCAATTTAAAGAACAACAAGGGAAGAACCGCTCTTCATGTATCCGTGATTGATAACATCCAAGTTGAGGTTGATCTCTGCATTAGGGATAAATCGTGGACTTATACCGAACAATTCTGAAACAAGTTGTAACGTGCAACCACTGCACTCCTTGCTAGTACACTGCTAGTTCTTATCTACCCACTTTATTTAACCTGGTTTTCTACCAGATACTATGCATCTGCATGAGGATTTTTGATGTTTGTAGTTGGGGCCAATTCAAGTGAAAAAGACTTCCTTGAAACATTTAATAGGCATGCAAAAATTGCCACTAGTTATTT